CTGTGGAACCCTGACTGGCCTCAGTCATGATCCTCCTGCCTTGGCCTGCTAGTGCTGCCACACCTAGCCCCTCGGGTTGATTTCTCATAGCGAAACCTTGAATCTGGGGGGGAACCTGATCGTTGTTTCCAGAATAAGTGGCTAATTAGACTGCAGATAAAACTCCTCCTTTCCTGCAAGTTGCAACAGAGCAGAGGAAAGAAGGGAAGCAAGAGTAATGCAAGGGTCTGTGGCCTTTCTTCCATCTCTACGGCTCTTCCCCTTTCGTTTTTATTTGGTTCCTCTTCATTCTTGAGAATTTCATACAGGTATACAATGAAATGTGATTATTTATACCCCAATTCCCCCTTCCAACTCCCCTCAATTCATTCTCAGCATATCTTCCACAGTACATCCATCTCCCAACTTCATGTTTAAAAAAAAATTTTACTATTTATTAATTATTATTTTTATTTTACTTGTATGAGTGTATTGCCTGCATGAGTGTAAGTGCACCTGTGCTGTGCAGTGTCCTCAGAAATCCGAAGGGGACATCAGATTCCCTAGGTCTGGAGTTATAAATGGTTGTGAGCCTCCATGTAGGTGCTGGGAATTGAACCTGGGTCCTCTGTAAATGCAGCCAGTGCTCTTAACTGCTGAGCCAATCTCTCCAGCCCCCAACTTCATGTTTTTTTCCAAAACAGTTTTATAGCTCTCTGAGTCTGCTTAGTGCTGTCCATCTGTGAATGGGTGTGGGGCCATCCACTGGAGCATGGGAAACCTATCAGTGGCCTCCATAAAAAGAATGAATCTCCCCCTGCACCCATCCATTGCCAGTAGCTCCTCGGTAAGGAGTGGGGCCTAGAGATCATCGACCTCATCAATGCTGGGGGGTTTTGCCTGGCTTGATTGTGTGTGGCTTCAGCTGTTGTGAGTTCATGAATGTACCGGTCATGTGTCCAGAAGACAGCTCTGTATGACACTCCTCCCATCCCCTTCTCTTACATTCTTCCCCTTCCTTTTCTTAGATGTTCCCTGAGCCTAGGAGTAGTGGGGGGCGGGGGCTAGGACAGTTGCTACAGATGTCCTCTGTAAGGCTGAGCACTGGCCTCTTGTTTTCAACACTGTGAGCAGCTCTGCATCTCTCCATTGACTGCTGTCCACTGCAACAAAAAAGCTTTTCTGACAAAGGTTAAGATCAGCCTGTGTTTATTAGTATAAACATAAATCTTTAGGCAATTAGACACCATGACCATTTAGGAAAATAACAATACCAGGTTTTACCCTAGGGCCTAAGACCTCCCCAGCTTTTGACAACAAATGATGTAGATGTGACCAAAGGGGACACTTGCACACTGTTGGCAGGAGTGTAAACTTGTGCAACCCACTTTGAAGATCAGTCTGGAGGTTTCTCAAAACACTAGAATGGAAATGCCAGTGGACCTTTTATCTTACTGCAGAGACACTTGCATATCCATGTTCATGGCTGTTCCATTCACCAGAGCTGGAAAATGGACTCAACCTAGATGCCCATCAAAGAATGAATGCTTAAGAAAATGTGATATATATACACAATGGAATATTATTCAGCTGTAAAGAAAGATGAAATTTGCAGGTAAATGGATGGAACTGGAATAATTTATATTGAGTGAGATAATTCAAGCCCAGAAAGACAAATGCCTTGTGTTTTCTCTCATCTGGATCCTAGTTTCGAACCCTTTGTGTGTTTAACTTGGAGCACAGGTGGAAGGCTGGGACCTAGAAAGGGGCCTTTAGGGGGTGGGGACATCTTAGATTAGATTATAGGTAAAATGAAAGTAGAGAGATGGAAGACTGGGGTGGGAAAGCTTCATCAGGGAATGGCAGGAGTGTGGGGAAGTCTTGGGGTAGAGGGAAGGGCTAACTCAAAGGGAGGGCTATGGAAAGCCATATGGAAGCCCATTATTTCCCAGCTCAACTAGGACATAATTGGAGGAATAGGAGAATACATGTGACATGACAGAAGAGGTTAAGGGGTGAAGTGGGGACTGGGATGAGGGGTGGCAGAGAAGGGGTAGTGGGTGGGTTAACCAAAACCAAACTGAAAAACCTGGAAACCCACTAGTTAGTAAGTTAATTTCAAAATACAACTTTCCAAACAGCATTACCCTACACGGGTGGACAGTGTTGCTCTCAGAAGGTGTGGGTTATTCAATGAAAATTGTGGTACAAGGCATGGGATATCACCCTGTGAGTTCTCAGAGGGTCTCCAGAAAACACATGCTTGTTGCTATTGCTCTCAATTACCCATCGTAACTACATGGTAAGACCCTATTCCTGAAGACAACACACACTTTGGCTGTAGGACATGGAGAAATCAAACTCAATCGAATCAGGACATTTCTTCCCTGCCAGCCAGTGCCAGTGCTTTCATAGTGCCAAAAGGTCCTGTGCAGGCTGCTGGGGGACAGACACATGGCATCAAAGATCTTACCCAGTGCTGGGCCCTGCTTGCTACAATACCAAACTGCCAGGCAAGATGTGTCCACTGGTGCAGTACTGTTTTGATCGGATTTGAAGTCTGTTCTACAAGGAGGGAATTTCTTGCCGGGTACTGTAATCCTAGATTTTTTTTTCAATAATTTTTTTATTGATTAAATTAGTTCTTTGATAATTCCGTGTGTGTGTGTGTGTGTGTCTGTGTGTGTGTGTTGCTTTCTGTTTTCTCTCACCCCACCCTCTCTCATCTCTCTAGAGCTTAGCTTACATGCTCTATCTTTAGGAAAACCTTCCTCAGCCTCCCTGTCCACGCCAGACAAAGTGAGGCCAGGTGCCCCTTAAGTCAGTCACCTTTCTCCCCTTGCTTTCCCTTCATTGCCTTCTTCACCATTTGTTAAGCAAGTGAATATGTAAATAATTACTGCTCCATCCCCGACCCCACGGACAGCAACCCCGGAGGTTTTACCCATCAGTTGACTGTGGTGGCCAGGCTCCTGTACTGTGTCTGCCTCGTGAGTGTTCAGTAGTTGCTGAGTGCAGGAATGGTGACTGCGTGATAATGGCAGACTGTTATTTATCTGTTTTTGGGACAGGGCCTTGTGTATCCCAGGCTGCCTTGTACTCTCCTGGTAGCTGAAGATGA